TGTCAGCCCTTGGGCTGCCTGCCAGGGCATCTCCAGCTGGCACATCCCCTGGAATGGGATCCCATGGGGCTCCGTGGCCAGAGTCACCCCGATGACACCAACGGTGCCCCACTGTGCCCGGTAAGCCCAGACGGAGCCAGATGGTTTTCCCACCATCACATCAAGATGTACCTTTGCACCATGACGGCCAGGCAGCTGCCAGGAGGGAGGGAGCAGCACCCCATCTGAGGGCACCCAAACCCTCCCAGCACCCAGCTCCCGGGGCTCACCTTGTCCTCTGACTTGCCCACTTCCAGGGAGCTGTTCACATAGTGGATCATGGAGTCCACCAGCCCGTGGCACTCACGCATCTTCTGCCGAGTCTGCTGGCTGGCAGAGCTGAGATTCCTGCACGGGGAACGCAGGTCCGTCACGGCAAGAAGGGGCTTCCCCACGGCCCCCCTCCTCCTGCCACTGGGCACCACCACGGGGAGAGCAGCTAATACCTCTCCCATGGGGCTGACCAGGCTTTGCCTTGATGCACAACTGCTGCAAGGGATGGGGACCCCAGAAACGAGGCCTGGGGACCTTGCTCCCTATGTATACAGCACAGATGGTGGCTCTCTTCCTCCACCCAAAACTTTACCCACAGCGGGAGGACCGGAGGCGGCCCAGAGCGGGTACCTGAGGAAGCCTGTGGAGTTGTAGAAGATCTCCGCCTCCGAGGGGTTCTGCTGGATGACACCCGAACCCCCCAGCCCAGAGAGGGGGACCAGGACCAGGTCCGTGAGCTGCTCCAGGGTGTCCCGGGCCAGGCGATCCTTCAGGTTGTCACTGGAGGAGAGATTCCACAGGATCCCTGCGCAGAGGGGGATCCTCAGTCCCAGGAATGGCTGGAGAGCACGTCCACCCCAATTCACCTCCCCAGGGGGCTCACAACGACCACCCACAGCCAGGAGCAGCCATAGGACAGGGTGGGTAACGATGTGAAAGAAGTCATCCCCGTGAAGTGTCATACCAGCTTTACCCATGGGGTGGGGGCACCATGTGCCACCCCCAGGGGAGGAGGACCCCTGCCCGCCCCTGCCAGCGTCTCCAACCTGTGACATTCTTGCGGAGCTCGTCGTCAGGCTCCCGCAGGGTCCGCATGAGCTCGTAGATGCCATTCTCCTCCACCAGCGCCAGCTTGTTCTCGGCGTTGTCGTAGATGAGGTTGCGCATGGCACCCGTGGCATGGCGCTGCACCTCCTGGTTGGGGCTGTTGAACAGCTTCACCAGCTTGGGCATGGCCTGGAGGCTGCGGGCCTGGGAGGGGACGGCCCAGCCGGGTTGAGACACCCAGCCCCTCTCCCATTCAGCTGGGGCTGGGGCTCCCTCCATCTCTTCCACCCTCCCTGGGGTGCCCCACCATGGCAGAGCGGCTGGGGACAGCCCCTTCCCTTTCGGCTCCTGGGTGCTCACCTGCTTCTTGGCGTTGCTGTCGCTGTAGCATTTGTGCTGGAGATAGGCAGCGCCCAGGACCTGCAGGTTGGGGTCGCTGGCTATCAGGTATTTCACTGCCGAGGGCAGGTCGATGTCATCAAACCTGGAAGCCACAGGCAGGTGAGGAAGAGCCCAAGCAGAGCATCCCACAGGAGTCCTCCACCTCTCCACCCCACCACGTTCCGCATCTCGGAGGAGATGCGTCAACCCATCTCCCTCCCCACCACACTCTTGGGGCACAGGACTCCAGACCCAGCTGAATGAGCATCTTCCTACCCTCATGTCTCAGGCTGTGTCCATGAGAGGAGCTAACGCCACATGCAGGACACGCTTGGAGGTCAACCCGTGCCATGGTCCATCACTATGGGGCCAAATTGTGCCCACCATCTCACCCCTCCTCCTGCATCCCTTGCAGCAAGGTAACTCCAGGCAAGAGGTGGAGGGTTTTGCCCTCAACCAGACAAGTGACTAAGGTGGGGACAGGGAC